TTTTGGGAGTTATGTATCTCCCTCCACTTGAGTTTGTAAAGTGAACTGTTTCTTTTTGTTGTGAAATTTTGTATTTTCTATAAGTTTCGGAGACAAATCGGAAAGAGTTTTTATTTATTATTTTATACGTTTAAGAATTTTATTTACAGTAATTAATATTCTAACATATTTCATAGCATTCGAAGAATATTTTAATTCATTAAAAACAGCCTAATATTGCAGATTTTAGAAATAAATGAGACATTTATGACCTTAAACTCAATTGTTCATATGTAGAATGCTGGTATACATCGAACCTTAGTGCCTTTTTAAGCAAGAATATAAATATAATAAGAGGTCGGATATCTATAGTGCTGGAATTATAACTGTTGCTATCCAGGCAAGAATTTAACTTATTCACTTATTAGTTCAGAATTTGTACTTACAATAATAACCCGATATTCTGTTACTGAGTAGATCTTAATTTCATAAACTTTTATATTTGTTTTTAAATAAAAATCTGTTTCAAAAAAGCATTAATATTTGCTATACGAACCTAAAGGTACTTTATAAAATTTTTACTCAAATGATCAATTAGGGTGAGTAATTCTAATTTAATTAATGTTTTGGCATATTTTATAGCATTTGAAGAATACTTTAATTCATCAAAAACAGTTTAAGTTTGCAGATTTTAGAAATAAACAAGACATTTATGACCTCAAACTCGATTATTCGTGAAATGCCAGCATACATCGAACCTCAGTGCCTTTTTAGGCAAGATATAAATATGATAAGAGATTGGATATCTATAGTGCTGGAGTCATAACTGTTGCTATCCAGGTAAGAATTCAACTCATTTACTTGTTGGTTCAGAATTTGTATTTATAATAATAACTTGACAAGATGATAGATTAATTCAATTTATATATAATAGGAAATACACATTCTGTTACTGAGTACCGTAGTGCACTGACCAAAGTACCCCCCTTGCAAAATACCCTGTGCAAAAACATGAGATCATTATTAATTAAATATGAGTTTTTTTTAAATTTTAAACTGCTTATTATAAATGCAGAATATATATATTCTTGAAATTTTTATTTCTTGTGACATAAACCTGTAATGGTGCAATAGACCCAGGTCTTTTGTAAGTTTTTTTTTGAAAGGATTGTATTGTACCCTGAGTATTTTGGTCAGTGCACTACGGTAGGTTTTAAATTTCATAAATTTTCATGCTTGTGAATATGAAATTAACATATAGAAGAACGTCTATATCAGATATCAGATATTTAAGTAAATATCCATTTCAAAAAGCATTGATACTTGCTATACGAACCTGAAGGTACTTTATAAAATTTTTACTCAAGCAATCAATTATAGTGAGTAATTCTAATTCAAATTGGTATTTTATTTATAGCAATTAATGCTTTGGCATATTTCATAGCATTTGAAAAATATTTTAATTCATCAAAAACAGCCTAAAATTGCAGATTTTAGAAATAAATGATATTTATGACCTCAAACTCGATTGTTCGTAGAATGCCAGCATATATCGAACCTCAGTGCCTTTTTAGGCAAGAAGATAAACATAATAAGAGATCAGATATCTATAGTGCTAAAGTGCTACCCAGATAAGAATTCAACTCATTCACTTGTTAGTCCAAAATTTGTATTTACAATAATAACCTGATGAGATAATAAACTAATTCAATTTACAATTAATAGAAGATACACATTCTGTTACTGAGTAGGTCTTAAATTTCATAAACTTTCATGTTTATGAATACAAAATTAATATATAGAAGAATGTCTATAGCAGATATTTAAGTCAAGGTCCATTTTAAAAAAGCATCGATGCTTGTTATACAAACCTGAAGGTACTTCATAAATTTTTATTTAAGTGATCAATTACAATGAGTAATTCTAATTCAAATTGGTATTTTATTGTCTAGTTATTGTGCTTTTCAAATTGCAAGTTTCATGTATCCTACCAGGAATCATAGACTGGCATTTTTTCTAGATTCCTGATTCTCAGTATGATACATGAAATTTGCTGATCACGGTAATTTGAAAAGCACAATAAATCCACAAGTGCTTCTCTATACCAATATTTAGTAAGTTTTCATGTCTTTAAATAAAATAAGCTTCTTTTCAATTTGTTAATATGATTTTATCATTTTGTTCAAATTCTAGCGATTAGTCTAAATTTCAGATGCTTCATTCAGAAGTCTCTTTATGATTTATTAATATACAGTAGATATATATGTTATTCGTTCAATTTGTTTAAATCTACCATATCTCACTACATACACTCAGAGTCTCTTTCTTTAAACCTATCAAAAAACTGATTTATGCCCCCTAGGATCTTTTAAAAAAGGTCTATTGCTAAGAAGAATCTTGTATACAAAAATATACATAAAACTTAAGGCATCATATATGTTGGTATAAAATATGTTATAGATCTGGGTTTTTTACTTTTTATCTCAAACCATACTCTGGTATTAGACCTGGGTTTATTATCATCGGGGTGATTTATGCTATGAAATACATATAATATGCATATTTATGTTTGCTTATATTATATAAATACATTATTATTATTGTTAATAAAAGTTCATAATCTATATTCACCTTTGTTGAAACAATATATATTATGATTATTAACATAAATATATAATTTGATCAATTTTTTAATAATTTGTTGAAATCTGCAAATGCACTTTATTTAATATTTACATCAAAATTCTCTTTTGCTCAATAAAAAAATGCAAGTAAATAAATCCTGCCACACAAACTGTTCCATCTTCTTCGAATTTTTTTTTACAACACTATTCAACTAAAATCTCACTGTAGGTGAACTTTGGCTTGCAATGTTGCTTTTGAGGTTTTTTCACTACCAATTGTAAAAGTGAATCAATATCCATTTCAGATTCCTTCACTATAAGTGTATTTGATTTATTAGGTGACTGAAATTCTTCTCGAATTACTATATAGGTTTGTTGGTTTTGCTTATAGAATTTTCGTCCCTATTCATTAGAGTCAAAAACTTGAGCTAAAGTTTGATACATGTTTTGTCCTCGAAAAATGCATTTATATACATTAGCCTTGGAATAATGAATGTGGCCTCGAAATATTTCAAAAAATAAACTTTTTGAACAAAGAACATGAAAACTTTGATGTCCCATATGATTAAAATTATTAGAGAGTTTTTGGTGAATAAGAAAAACTAAGGTTTGTTTAAATTCTTTTAACACCTTTTTTGGAATTCGCACAATTTTAGAAGACTGGTTGTATTTTTTAATAATAGTGTTATGTCGTGCTAGACCACCTGGAGTTTTAAAATGTTGTCCACAAAGAAAACAAAAAATTATATTTTGATTGTTTGATGATATTAAAGTAGGTGGTAGCGTTAAGGTATAATTTGATGTTAAAACCATCATATTGTATATACATAGTATGTATGTATATACAGAAGATCAATCTTGTATGGTTAAATAAAAATTAAAATGAAGTTACATGTTTTTTAGCCAATCAAATAGTGTATTTTAAAAAATAAAAATAACGAATGCAAAATAAAATTAATCTATATAGATGGTAATATTATCGTTATCTATATTAATTATTACAATATTATAAGAATTTGCTTTCCATGATTAAACTGTAATGAATTAAATTAATCTATACCTGTTTCAAGATTTGCACTTTTAATTATTCTAGCATTACAATAAGAATCTAACTTCTATTCAGCAGCTGCAATATACTAGTTAATATCTAGTTAATACATTTATATTCAAATTTAGAATCGACAACTTACAAAAATGTTCATTACTGGAATATCAAAATACCTTCAAGTATTGTTTTAAGTCAATCTGTATATCTTAAGCTTATTATCCTATAATCCACATTTTGAAACTATCAAATTTTATAAATCAAATATGCGTTGAATAACCATATAATAGAGAATAATTTAATTTACCTCCTAAAAAACTATAAGGATTTTCATTAGAACTAGATAAGATCTTGAGCGTGACAGTTAGGTAGCTCACGAGTGCTTATATATACATTGTTGTTATTAGTTTTCATATACCATCTAGTTACCATAGGCTGCAGAAAATACAAAACCCTCCTTTATCATCTTTTTTAATATATATCACCTAGTTTGTTAATAGAATCCATTCAATCATATGTTTAAATGCTTAACCTAAAGTTAAAACTCTTATGTAATTGTCAATATCATTATTTTTATTATGTATTTAACACCATGCTTCACTTGTGTTATCTTCATTATACTGTACATATTTTTCATAATCAGAATATATTTATCAATTGAAATCTATGTTATTAATGCGATACTTAAATTTGAATATAAATAATTTATACTTACTGACTTATTGATATGAATAAAGTGAAATTAAAGCAGCAAAAATTTATGAACTTGAATATCTTATTTTTTTATATTCACACTAAATTAAAGCAAATAAAATAAAATTAAATAGTAAGCATTCATTAATTTGAATAGTTAATTCTAAATATCTAGAATAAGAGATGCTTTATCCTCACCTAGCTCAACATGAATAAAACGAGCTTATCTAGATAGTCGTGATCACAATCTATATATCATGTTGCCCAGCCTAAAGGTGATCTGTACTGAAATTCATACAAGAAAGATTAGCGGTAATATTCAAAAAAGACAGAAAAAAGTAATATACGATAAGTGCTTGATTTTTAACAGATTTGAGATCCAGTCTCTAGTTTCAAATATATTACTATAAATCTCCCAGGTCTAGTAAACAGCTGAGAGTTCTGAAAGTTCATAATATTATAGCATTAAAAAAAAAACTTTACATGCATTTATAATAAACAGTCTGGAATAGATCTTGTGATATGTACCCAAGTGGTTAAACAGGAGGAACCATCAATGTTACACATTAATAAAATTGAGTTTACTCTAAAATGTATAATTTCTTTCACATGAGGTGATCAGTTAAACTGAAATTATTTATATATAACTTCAAGTGTGATGGATATAATTACGGTTAATGTTAATGGTTTCCCCTGTTTAGTTATAATTAGTTATTATATTTGTCAAATAACTGACGCACTGTAGATCTATAAATCTATATCAAATTTAGGTGCGTCAAAATATTTGAGATGATCTGCAGATCTGCCAATATGGGTATACAACTATAATGTTTAAGTAACTTCAATTTAGAGTATTCCCATAATTCACCAACTTCCTCATACCAATGAACTAAGGTGAACTCTAGTGGCTTTTGATTTGTTTAATAAAATTTAAGTATAAGAAGTACCTTGAAATAATATTTATGTTATTAATTTACCCTCAAAGTATCATTTTCTTATAATCATAATTTATCATTGTTAGGCAAATTTTAATAAAAAAAATTGAATTGAACAACTGTTCGATATATACTAAGCTAAACCAATTTATTTCTTTATTATTTTCATAGCCATTAACCACAACATTTGAAAACATAGGACTTTCATGAAAACTAGCAATAGCACAAATTATATTTGTACTTTCTAATGAAACTGAAGAAAATACCTATATATGATTAAAATTATTAAAAGACGAAATTGGTTCCTCTTTAAAAAATTCATTAAGACTGGTTAAAAGGTTTTGAAACCCTTCAAATTGTAATGAGTCCAGATTATTTTTGTTGTTTTCAAGAAAATCATCCAACTTATCTAAACTTAAAGTCCATATAGGATTTCCAAACTCTTTTACTTGGCAATATTTCTTTTTGGTTTTTTTTTCAGTTAACTTCTGTTATATAATCTAATATAATGATTATTCATGGTTAAAATATAATTTAACTAGTGCATAGTGATAGATAACGATTAGTTACTAGATTTATAAACATACCATCTTTACTATTTGTTTTATATAATCTTTTTTGTTTAACATATGATAGGGTCTTTTTACATAATTCTTATGAAGAGTTTCATAAGTTTCTGTGGTCATACTATTTATTGATCTATATTCTTGAATTGTAGATATCATATGATAGTACCAAGCATAAAGCTTAGGTAATTAAAGACTGCTTCGAGAATATTCTAAAAATATTTTAACAAAATCTTTTGCCTAATCCATAATAGAAGCCTATGAAGTTAATCATTAGTAATCAGAATTTATTGAAAAGATGTCTTTCGTTTTATACTGTTATAGAATGATTTATTATTTATTATTATTATTATTAGTTATTATTATTATATTATTATTATTATTTAGTATTAGTTATTCTATTATTGCATTATTATTATTATTATTAGTAGAAGTTGCCAGAACGTTCCAGTTAATTAGTAATCGCTTAGTCGCTTAGTCGCTTAGTCATTTAGTTGCTTAGTAATTAGTCACTTAGTAATCATTAGTCATTAGTTGCTAGAACTTTCCAGTTATTTAGTAATCGCTTAGTTGCTTAGTCGCTTAGACGCTTAGTCACTTAATCGCTTAGTCGTTTGGCTGCTTAGCCACTCAGCTCACAGATATATAAACCCTACTAAATTCCCCAAGTGTGATTAAGCAACAGATACCCCTCTTTCCTTTAATATTGTAAACACATTTTAGGATTCTTTAGAAACAGAAACCTAAGGATAGCCCTTCTTGTTATTACTTTAATAAACAGCTTTTAACTATAAACTGT